GTTCCAGGACCCTGACTGCAGCAGGATGCGGATAGGTCTCCTGCAAGAGAACAGGGAGGTCGGCTTTGAGATTCAGAATCAAGTGCACAAAACAGGAGAGAGAAAGAGGGACCCAAGTGTCCTTCCTGGGTAGGAAGGTACTGAGATCTGGGGGCATGAGAAGGAAGCCCAGTGCCCGTGACCCAGGACATGGCCTGCAAATGCCTCCCAGCAGCCCTTCAGTTCTTTGTTATGTTTGTCAGCAAAGCTGATACCAGGAGTCAGCACTTTCTTCTGCATGGTTAATGCACAGGCATCAGGTTTTAATGCAAAAACCAAATGCACCGGAGTCAAGGCACACCCAGTGAACGTTCTAGAGCAGCTGGTCCCATCTTTCTGAGCTGCAGTGTCCCTTTTAGGAGATGGAGAATCCTGCCCACTTGGCAGGGTCTTATGGGAAGTGCGGCCATGTCGCAAGGCACGGGGTAGACCACCGGCAATCAGAGAAGCTGTTCTTTCACCCACAAGGGGAAGTTTTAGAGGGACCCTAAATCCAGACGTAAAAATGAAAACCACACCTGCGGAGCCTGTGAGCAGTGCCCCACCTCGCCGGCCCCAAGAACAGGATCAATGACGGTCACACAGCCAAGGAGGCCAGAGGGCTCCCTGGGAACACACACAAGTTACCGAGAGAGATGCCCTCGCTCTACCTGTGGACAGCGCGGGGTGAGGACGTGCCATCTGCAGCTGCTACCATTTTGTTACCATCGCTGGGAGCCCCAGCTCTGCAGGCTTCCTGGGTCACGGGCAGGATCCTCATGCCACCGGAAGCTCTTAATGCCTACACAAAGGCAGTGCCAGTGGGACTGGCAAGTGACAGTGTCCGTGCAGTCTGAGAGCTCAGAGACTAAAGAGTCCCACTTTCCTTCCCTGGACAAGGGCACCAGGGAAGACGGGGAAAGGGACTCGCCCAGGGCCCCCCATCGTTAACGGTGGGGCGGACCCTAGGACTAGTCAACACTTGTGAATTACAGCCAAGTGCCCTTCCTGCAGTGTCCAAACTGTGGCTGTCTATGCAAACAATGCCCTGCTGAGAAGCTGGTCTCACTGGAAGATTCATGCACTTTCTAGGCCCAAAGCTTTCTGCTCCTTGCACATCTCTGGCCTCATGCGGGAGGTGGATGACCCAAGCTGCCCTGCTCTCTGCACATCACCATCCAAGCACAGCTGCACATTCGCATCTTTCTGGCCTGATGCCCTTCTAGTCCCTGCCAGTTATGTCACTGTGGGAACCCCTCATGACACCCCGTCCTTTGCCTGCCCCTCCTGATGGGGCTCTATCCATCACGCTTTCTTCAAATGACCCCCTGAAGCCTGCCGGGTGAGTTCCCTTCTCTGTGTCGTCACATACCTCTGTTTATCCTGCGATTACAAGTCTTTCCATCCCAATGACAGCAACCCAGACCTCTCTCTCGCCTACACATGGGATCATGAGAGCAGAGACTGGAAGCTTTCATCTCCCCCAGGTACCCAGGGCACCTGGCACAGGCTGGCGCTTGACAAGGACTGAAGAATGGAAGTGACCAAGCACCCACTTTGTGCAAAGCTGATGGGGATGTTAAGGTGTGCAAGTCAAGGTCCATCTCCTCACGTGCTGGATTTCTGGATGAGAAAACATAACTAAGGGAAAAAGTCAGAAGTTCTGGGTCTCGGAAAACAGACATTTCCACCTTCCTGATCTCTGGGGCGTGTTATTTTGAGGGGAGAACCACAGCACCCCACGTCTTTGAGCCTCAAGTCCCCCCAACCTTCGGAACAAGAAGATCCCCTCCAGTGCTGCGAGCTGTCACACTGACCCTGCTTTGTCAACAGTGAAACACCATAAACGTTCTACGTTATAGGATGCTGCAAGTATAGGGGAGACCACAATGGCCTTGATGGGCTTCATTTTAGCTTAAAATGTCATACATGTTAGCTTCTGGTCCACGGGGCATCTCCCAGGCCACCAGAAACATAGGCTGACGAAATGGAGGTGGGATTGGCTCTCAGTGCAGGATCTCATTTTAAGGACATGTTTTGACATAAACGTCAACAACCCTTTCTCTCCTCCCAGTACTTTTGCACAGAAACTGTTGGTCATACTTGAAGATTTCACATTTTTGCACACAAATGTTCAAGTTTACGTTTCTCTCTTTAAGTTTCATTCTCACACTCAGCCAAAACTTGACCATTTGAGCTACCTGGTGGGCGTCACATCTCCAAACCCCTGGAGCTTAGCATCATACCTGAAATGTGCACGGGGCTGGGAGGGTCCCTCCAGCCACTGAGACCCTTGGACCAGTGCATCCCTCTCCTACCTGTGTCACGCCCCACCAGCCCCGTGCACAGGCTCTCCATGACCTTTGAACTCACCCTAAAGCCACCAGGCGCCCTGTAAACAAGGGAAATCCCCCAGAACATGTGTCATGGTCACGCCACGTTAGTACGTGGTAGGCACACACTTCTGGTGCTCGAGGAATCTGGGGAGATGCAGGTTAAATCAACAGCTGTCCCTCGTGTGGGTTCCTCGGGGCTCTCTCTGTGCCCTTGGGCACCCAGAGCGTCCCAGGGGTAAGGGTACAGAGAGGGACACGGCATGCTGCGTTTAGTAAATCCACTGAAACACACAGATCGTCTGAGTGCATCTTTGAGGACAAGTGTTCCTCAGGACACACGCTGGGGGAAAGCTGCCCAGAGCTCCCTCGAATCCCTGCGGTTCTAAGTCCCAGTTCAGAAGCGAGATGGAGAGGATCTGAGCCTCCACGTGGCAACTCCTTCACGCGTCCTTCCTGAACCTTAGGGTAAACTCCGTTCAGCTCCATTATACAGATGAGGCACACAAGGGAAGCTGAGGTCAGAAACAGCCTGCGTTTCAGTGCCCTGACGCCTGACCCCAAACACCAGGCTTTCCCCTCGAGCCCCTTCCTCCTTGAGGTCAATCTCCCTCAGACCTAAAGCCCATAATTCTCTAGTAGTGTTTTATTTGAAGAGTGCCCCCTTTCAGCTTTGCACAGTTTCCTCTCTTTACTCTTTCCTACCTTCCCAGGTCTGTCCCCAGGAAGAAGACAATGGCAGTTCTGCTGGCTGGGGGGCCCTGAGGCCTACACAGAGGGGACAGCAGGTGACGGAAGCCCTAGGGGACATGGGCGCCTTCCCCCAGTCTGCGACACGCAGGTGTTTCCTGTGCTTCACGGTGCAGGGAGCTGCGGACACAAGTAAGCCTGCCTCAACATCTTAATTTTTAATAAATGGCTGTGAGAAAACAATCACAGCTGTCACCTGTTTCTCAGCGCTCCCAGCAAACCCCTCTTTGAGAAAACAATGTTATTTTCCTCTATTCACAGTCCCTGACTTAAATTAAATGTTTGATCTGAATTAGACTTGCCTATTTATTTTCACTACTATGCTCTAGAAATAGAAAACTAAAACAACAATGACAACAAATGAAAGGCTGGGTAAAACCATGCCAGGGTGAATGGGCGACCTCACAGTGGAAGAAAAGAAGTCGTGGGCCCATGAGGCCCTCCCCACATGACGCAGGCAGGGGACACGAGCGGCAGCAAGCTCGCCTACAGGCACATCTGCAGAGGAGAATCGAGCCAATTGGTTGAGAATGCGGAAAACTCCCCTTCAGGCAAATGGGAGGCAATTCTTGCATAAAGAGAACTCTTTAATCCATCCCCATGCTGGACCATCTCATCCTCCAGAAATGAAAACGAGTCCAGTTCTCTGTGTTCATTGGCTGCACGTCTGTCTTTCCACCCACCTCCCCCCAGGGCTCTCTCCCTCCCATCCTTCCCCAGCTCAGAAAAAGCCCAAAGCAACTTCCGGTGGTCCAGGTTGAAGTTACTTTCCTGGGGCTTTAATGAGGCACATTTCTCGGCTGCTAAGCACACGGCTGAGGCCGACTCTGTGCGGTTCAACCCAGCTGCCTCTCCCGATTATCTATCGTGGGCCCCGCTGCAAACCAGGCATTTGGGGGCAGGACCGTGCCCTCAGGAAGCCAGTGTCTAACATAAAGGGAAGTCAGAGACCCAGACTTAAACGATTGAAGCTCCGTCTCATCTGTGAAATGCAGATGATGCTATTGAATGCACATAGGTCCCAAACGGACAAGGTCTGTAAAACAGAGGCAAACAGAATAAGGTCTGTAAAACAGGGGCAGGAAGAAAGAAGTCTCTGAAAATCAGGAGGAGGCTGCCGGGGACAGAACCCAGTCCAGACGTCTGAACCATACATGGGAAGGCCGTCCCTACAGTCCATTTATAACAGGAGTCAAATTCAGAAACTTTTTTAGTTTTTCACAGTTTAAAGGAAAATTGTTTTTTCCGGACTTTTCTTTTTTCTTTTTTTTTTTTTTTGTATTTCTTGAATGGGAAGGAAAACCAAGCAAAATTAAACGAGACAAACTGAAAACAAACCCTACACCCTCATGTTTCTCTTCTGATAGGTAAAATGCTGGGTCTGAGAGAGGCCTGATGGGAACAGAAGCCCCTACAGGCATTAAGAGCAGGCCATTTGGCCCACGGTGACGCTGGCTGCATCTTCAGGAAATTCAAATGTGATTTCAAGATGCAGCCTGTCCAGCTTAGCACTAAAGCAGTGACGGCTGACACGGAGAGCTGACTGTTCTACCGTACACACTCACCAGGCCAGCACCCCTGCAATCTCAGTCATGTCACTGTTCAATCAAATTTAAAGGGAGCTGTGGTGAAGCTTTGCCTTTCCAGAAAGGAGCGCACACGCCATGCTCAGGGTTTCTCCACTGCGTTCCCAGCTCCTAAGATTCTGTTTAACTGATTACTTTTGCACCACGAGCGCCTGCAATCGAACCTGCTTGGGGAGCCTGACTGATTTGGAGGAGAATCCCTCCGATAACTGGGTAAAAGTGAGGGCAAAGGGCTGCATGGTGTCTCCAAAAACAGAAGTGAAAAAGGCTCATCCTGAAATTCTATTAAACTGGCGTTTTCTGCAAGACCCACCAGGGTACAGAAGATGCACTGGCACTGGGCAATGGTCGTCATCTTCTCCACTGGGTACTCCCCGAGACACAGCTTGCAGGACACCAGCGGGTCCAGGGCCAGGTCCCAGGTGGGCCGGCACCGTGCTGTGGTCATGGCAGAGCAGTCTGAAACGAGAGAAGTACAAGGCATCAGACACTGTGGCCTCCACCAGAACCGAGGCAGGGGTCACTCCTGGCTGAAACTGGGGCTCTGGGGGGTGGCCAAGTGAACACTGAGGGGCCGGGGTTTTAGAGTCCTCGTCTGGGTCCTCTGAGAAGTTTTAGCCAGAGGTCCCTGATCTGAGTCTGTGGGCGATTCCCTTCCCGTATTGATGGTAATATTCAAAACGGCGAGGGATCTACCCGTCGGCATCCTTCCCTCCACGCCTCTGATGGGTACTGAGGAAGACACCGTCCACTAAACGAAGCACCCAGCTCAGGAGGGCAGAACCTTAGCAACCCGGCAAAGGACGCTTTTGTTAAAATAGTTACTAATCAGATCAAAGTGTTCTCCAGTCACTGCTGTAGGGATATCCCAGGGAAACCAGTTGGTGGAGTTCTGGCCTCTCTGTGCCCTCCCAGTAGAATGGTCCTTCCACACTGGTTTCTGTCCTCACCGCCCAGGTGTCACCTAACCTTCCAGAAGCAGCTCAAGCACCACTGCCTCCGAAGTCCTGGAAGACTGTCTCAAATGTAAGTTTCAGGGAGGCAAGGCCCTTTGGCAGATTTGTTCATTTATGTGGGTCAAGTGCATCCAACAGTGCCCGGTATGTGACAGACACTTCACAATCGTCCATGGAACAGTCCTCACTTCCCCACCCTCCTCAACATTCTCTGTGCACATCCACCTCTGGTCTGTGTTCCCCTGATAACAGGCATCTTCCTATTGCTATGTTACACACCGATTTCCACTGCTTACTGCTCGAGGGAAACAGAGAAGGTGTGAGTGTCCAGCTCTTAGCTCGGCTCTGACCCACGGTGGCCTCAATAATTTCCTGTTGATTGAATTCTTGCATCCAGGGAAATGGCTCCCTGCTCCCAGCATACCCCCTGAGACTTGAGTTAAGCCTTACAACACTTATTTTGCACCTGTGGTGGGTAGGTATGTGCTTTATTCTACCAGCAGCCCCTTGCCCCCCAAACTCAGAACTGCGAAAGATTCAGTTAAAATTTCAGATAAAATCCACAGCCATCCAAACTCTCACTATCTGCTATCCAAATCTCAGGATCTAAACTGATTTAGAGAATTTGGTATCCTTCCCTACTGAACCCCTAACCTCACTCTCTAAACTGAGGCATGAAAAGATTTGGATGGCAAGACACACCTACATTCCCCCCGAGTTTGTGAGGCCACGAAAAGAGGGTTTGTCTTGTTCAACTCCACATGTACAGCAGAAGACTGTACGCATAACGACCAAGGTACACACATGAAGGGAAAGAAAACAAGACAAAGCAACACCAACCAACGCCCAGAACGTACACAAAACGGCTCTCGGATCCTGGAAAGTCTCAAAGATGCGTGAGACAGAGCTCCCCACCTTAGGGTCTTCGGATTCAACCCAGGAACATCCTTTGCCAAATAAAAAGCTAATTGATAACACAAGGCAGAGTGTAGGATTATGTGTGAAATCAGTGCTCAAGGCACTCGGGAAAACTGGAAATCAGCCTGGGCTAGAATCTTCCGGATAGAACTTCGCAGGGGAGATAAGGCTTGAGTTTTAAGGGGAGGTTACATTTCATACAGGTGAAAAGGGGGTGGATATCAAAATAAGAGAGAGAGGTAACCCAGCATCTTTCACCAGGCAACAGGGTGTGGAGGCAACACCATAGGGGCAGAAGGAACTCTGCTCCTCCAGGGCAAACAGAACACCCCTATCTAGTAGGGTGCTGGCTTACTTGGCCACTGTCAGCCTCAGTCTGCTCATGTGTGTGATGGGGCCACAACCTCCATCTCCCAGGGCTGGTGCAGGATTAGCAGAGATCATATGAAGGACCTGACACACATGGGCAATGCTCAGTAAACCCTCGTCCCTTCCCCTGGGATGCCTCATTTGGCCATAGTTTATCCACCTGTGAGAAGGCCTCTGATGATACCAGCCAGGGGCTGGGTGTGCAAGTTATTTCTGGGGTCAGGGAGCTGTCATGATACTTTTTTTTAGAAAAAAATTATATCCATTTCTCGTGTTTTGACAGTCACAGCTCACCGGGTATCACTAAGCAAATATTTACTTAGGACGAACCACTGTGGGTTCTACGCAGGGCGCTGGGGGCGGGGAAGGCACGTGTGAGCTGGGGAAGAGACTCTGCGATGGTCTTGGGAACGCACAGAGGAGGTAAGACACAGTGACACACGACCCAGGCGCATGAGTGATGTCAGGGTGGCAGAGCAGCGGAGGAGACCCTGACCTATAAGAGCTCAAGCAAGTGAGGGGAGTTACTGAATTCCGGCGGGAATCGGCATTGGGAGTGAGGGCGGGAAATCCGAGGTCGGGGCAGGGAATGGACAGCAGCCTCCTCCCAGGACAGTTAGTATCTGTGGGCGACTTAGTCTAAAGTAAGTGCACTTTCCATTGTTAGAAAAGAACTCTGACACAAATTCAAGTAATTTTGGGGTGGGTTGGAGCCTTCCGGCTAATTTAAACGAACATGATCATTTGACCTTCATCCAAGGGCACCAGAACACTTAGGTGATTTGGGGGTCACTCAGCGATCTGGGGGTGCAGAGTGTACCAGAATCAAGGCTCCTCCTGTCCCTGAGTTCATTTTCATTTGGAACATCTCCCTGCATCTTGAATTTATGCTTATGATGATTATTTTAAATGTCCAGTGTTGCCTGGATCCTGGGCTCAGGTGCCAAGACTTTTCTCTGTATGTTTCTCGGCACCTTTTTTTGTTTTAATCCTTAATATCTCTTAAAGCTCACAGTACAGAGTGTCAACTGTGTTTTGATTAAGACTGTTAGCTAAGCCCTATCAGGGATCACAAAGCTTTACTGGAAGCATTGAGAAACTGCCTAAGACTGGAAATGTCCCCAAGAGGACAGAGGTTGCTTAATTGGCTTTTCTGTCCTGGAGAGCTGGGGAAAGGCTGCAGTGGACACTGTCCAAAAGGTCTGGGGTCCAGATTCTGTAGGGCACTGAGCAGCAGATGACATGTCACCCAGCAGACCTGGGTCCAAATTCCTGTTCTGCCACTTGGTCATGTGATTTTGGAGAAATTACTCAACCTCGAGGAACTTTAGTGTTTTTCTCTCTGTAAAACGTACACACCATCACCTCCCAGGTACACTTGTGAAGAGTGAGTGAGAAAGAATACGTTTAAAATTCCTGGTAAGTAAAGGTCATTAGGCTCTGTCGGGTTCAAGAGCTTGGACATTAACCCATATGAACCAAGGGGAGGAGAAAAACTGAGAGATGGTAAGATGGACTTGGTCTTAGGAAGTTCACGCTGATGGCCGTCATCTTTGGAAGAAGCAAACACCAAAACCTCAGAAGCCTCCTGCTTTATCATCTGCTGTGCAGGTTGCTCCAAGGCTGGACATCACCCCAAATGGCAGAAATCAGGGACTTAACCCTTTGACATAGTCCTTGAAGCCCACGGCCCTGACCCCACTCACTGCCATTCACCCTGGACCACTGGTCCCATCCTGGCTGGTTCCTCCCCAGACAATTCTCTCTCCCCCAGCTTCTGAGCTTGGCTCCTTTCTTGTTTATAATGACCCTCAGTTCAACTTGCAAGGCTTGACCTCTCACTTCCTTTCTTCCTGGACCATGATTTCCTCTTGACCTGAGACAGTGTGGCCTCCACTGCCCTGGGCACAGGTTAGCCGTAGCCTCTCACCTCCCAGCCCCGTGATTCAGCCTTGAAGCAGGTCAGACACGGTCTCCTGGCATCTTGTCAGTATTCTTTCCTACAGAGTAGACACTCTCTAAGGTGAGCTCACAATCATGATTCAATGGGAACAACAATTGGACATATTTTACCAAAAAAAAAAAAAAAAAAGGATACATTGTCTAAGCCCATCACGACCTTCCCGACACACAGGATGGGCTGAATATGATTTTGCAAACATTGAACAGCTGCAAAATTGAAACAGGAATTTGCAAAGAAAATCACAATGCACAATAAGAGAAAAAAAAGTGTTTGTTTTCCTAATGTGCATGTCAAGTAGAATGAAACAACAAACTATTTTAAGAACATCTGGTCAATTATAAGCATTATTCAATCTAAGCAACTCAAAATGTTTATAAGGCAAGTTACTTATTAAGCACGACTGGGTTGTGCAGAGGGTGCATTGTGATGAGAGGTATACAAAGATGAGAAAGAGCTAGAAGGGAAAAAAACCCATTGAGGGAGACAGTCTTAAAAGTATGATGTGGTTATTTGGCCAGGACCATCGCACCTGGGCTCTGGGGCTGTGGATTCTGAAGGTCCCTACTCACCCACTGTCACCCCTTCAAGGCAAAGTAGGGGAAGGGAAAATCAAATTGGTGTCAGCCAATCACTGCAGGACTGCCCTAAAGCCGGCAGAGGCATGTTGGTGGTTCTTCCCCAGCCGAGGGGGCAGGGGGAGTCACAGCCATCTGAGTTTTCACTAGCCTTTCAGGGAATTCCCATATGCAGTGAAGTCTAAGAACCACTGGGCTACATGATTCCACAGGATAGCATCTCCCCCGAGGACCCTCCCACCCTGAAGCCCATAGGGGCTTAAGCCCAACACATGATCACCTCTCAAAAATGCTATACTGTGCAGCCTGTGTCTGCCAGGCACGGGGTTAGACTCTGCATATTAGCCTCCTTTATTCTTTGCCATGACTCCCTCTGGGGAAGCGTGGCCTCTCCACATCTGCCACGTGTGTTAGTTTGTCCCCCAAATTGAAAAGCAGCGCTTTCTACCCTGCTGGACAGTGCTGGTCACAGGCAGACAGCCCATTCCATACACATATATGTGCATCAGGCATTATGTGAACCAATTTTATACATTATTTCATGTATCCGCACAGTGACTTGGAGGCTTTAGTAGTTGTTATTATTCCAATTTCAACAATGAGGAAAGCAAGACACAGAGAAGGCACGTAACCAGCCTGCGAGACGTCCTTTGTATATCCTATGGATTGCATGAGAAG